TTTACACTAACATTTTCACAAATAAATTTAGAGTCTAATATTATTTAAATACCATAACATAATTTGTGGAAAGATTATTAACATTCAGAACAAAAATTATTGGGTTATTATGGGATAGTGTATTTTCATTTATTTAAATTATGTTTAAAGCATTATTTGGTATATAACGACGATTTTTTAAATTTTATTGATAATTTTTTATATATGAATTAAAAAAACAGTCATCAAAATTATTTTGTCTTTTTTATATGTTTTGTTATTCTTATATATTTTAGTGAGTTTTTATTTATTCATACTATTAAGAATTCTATTCTTAGAAATCTTAATGGTGATTTTAATATTAATAATTAAATTATTGGATTATCTATTAATCTTATTATAAAAATTGATTATTTTATTATTATTATTATTATATTTTATTATTATTATTATTATATTATTATTATTATTATTATTATTTTATACTTTAATCTTCTTATATTTATTTTAATTAATTTTATTTTTTATCATTTTTAAAATATTAAATTTAATTATTATTATTTTATATTTATATATTATTTTCATTTTATATGCTTTCATAATTCATATAATTATTAGAATTTTTTTTTTTTTACAGTTCTCATTTTTTTATTGAATTTCCTTTTATTTTATTTTTTGTTTTTCTTTATTGTTATTTTAATTTTTTTTATTTTAATTTTTTTTAATTTAAAATTAAAAATTAAATATTTGATTCATTCTTTCTAATTTTTATAAAATACTTTTCATAAAATCTTTATTTTAGTATTTTTTTATAAATTATTCTTATTAATTAATATTATTATTATTTTCTTTTTAAATAGAAATATTTAATTCCTATTCATTTAAACAGCATGATTTTTATAAGCAATTTTTTTCATTATCATCATCTTCTACTTATTTACACTAATTATAATAATATAAGCAAATCATACAATCAGTTTCGAATTAAATAAAATTATAAAATTTATCTTTTTACTTTTATTTTTATAAATTTTCTCCTTCTTTGAATTATTTAATAAAAAAAATTATATTTAAATAAAAAAATATATTTTCTTATATTATATAAAAAAAAATTACATACAAATCATTTCAGTTTCTGCTGTTTTATCTGCTGATGTATATTCATCTAAATCTTCTTCATCAAAATTTTCTGAATTTTTTTTATTATCAAAGAACCTATTTCTTTTAAAATACTCAAGAGTATTATATTCAATTTTATCTTTAAATCCTTATATAATACTTTTCCTTATTTAGGCGAACTTAATCTAATCCATAATTAAAATTGACTCATTTTTTGTATTATTTAAACAATAATATTTTTAATCTTAAAAAGATTTTATTTTTTACATTTAATTTTATATAATATTTTAATTGATTTCTAAACTTTTTTCTAATAAACTCAAGTTTTATCCTAAAAAGTCCTCTTTTTAATGTCCAAAAATTACCTCTTATTTTGATTATTAAATTACACTTATTTTCAGACTTTCCTAATCTAAATTCATTATTTTCTGGCATATTAGTTAAGGCTAATTATCTAAACTAGGAGCAGAGTCTTTTTTTTCTTAAATTTATTACTATCTTTTTCCTTAGGCTTTATTTTTTCATATTTGTCCAAAAATTCCTTTAATTATTGATAGTTATTTCCTGAAGAAAATATAGTATAATTTCTCGGCATGTTTTTAGAACTAAAAGTTCTTTTATAATCTCCTTTTGTATTCACATCATATAGGGCCAAAAAACCTTCTCCTTCTTCATTATGGAATAAAACGGAAAATTATTTGTTACTTTTTAAAGGAAGAGGTTCTCCTATATATCTGTTTTGGTAATAATTGAATACTTTTTTTTTATTTTGGACTATTTTTTACACATTTTCTTCATTGCTTTATTAAGTTTTATGTAGTTATAGTTCATTTTCGATTTCTTAAAAAGTGTTTTTTTATAGTAAAAAATATTATTGATCGATTTGTTCCCACCATTTTCTAATTATAAGATCCTTTATTCATCTGAAATAGGATTTAGAAGAAATAATTTATTTTATTTTAATTATTATATATTTTCTAATTATTATTGTTATTATTCAGGTATTTATTATTTTTTTTTTTTAATTTTTATCGTGTTTTTATTATTTAGAATTATTTTTTTCTTTTTTTTTTCTATTGAATTATTTTCGCTTGAAAATTTTTTGGGTCTTCCTCTGGCTCTTTTTTGGATATTATTATTTTTTGATAAAATCTGTTATTATTATAAATAATTTTAATTATTTAAATTCTTTCTTTTTTTTCTTCTTTTAAAGCTTTTTTATAATCTGCTAGCCATTTATTATTTAATTCATCTTCTAATTTTTTGAATGTTAATTCAGTTTAATCTTTTATTTTATGAGAATGAGTTCTACACTAAATATAACATTTTAAGTTATTCTAATTATTTTATGTCTTATATATATGAGAGTTCTTTTGTACACAAGATAAATGACACCAATATTCACAATTTTCCTCATGGCATTTTATAGAATGGCCTTTTTGTGTGTTTCTTATGTCTTCACATAATCCACATTTGCTATTATGGAATTTTATTTAGGATATGTTTTGGACTTCAAAACCTCTATCAGGTGAAAATATTAAATTCAAATCATTAAAAAATAAGGTGCATATTAAATGAACAAAATAAATTTCTTATTGATTTTATATAGAAGTTGTTGGGTATGCGGTTACCATTACGTCGTTTTATTTTTTTTATTCTTTGCATAAATAGCAATAATAAAAAGATTTTTTTTTTTTTTACATTTTTTTTTTTTTAGTTTTTATTTTATATAATTTTTTTTTTTTAATTAATTTTTTTTTTTCGTTGCACTTATTTTTTTTTTTCAATTTTTTTATTTTTTTTTAAGTTTTTTTGTTTTATAATTTTTCTCTATCTATCTATTTTTATTTATATATTAAATATTAAATACTTTAATTATTTTTTCTTCTTTTTTTTATAGGCGAATATATTTATTTTGATAGATGTAATATAATTTTTATAGTATTAAGATATTCTTTTTTTGATTTGAAATAGATCAAATAAATTAACTCAACATAAAAAATTTAAAATATATTATTTATAGAGTATTCGAATTTTTTTTATTATATTCTTATATTGAATAAATTAAGAATATTTAAAATTTTGATTTAATGTGAACATTCAATAAATTTTAAGTTAATTAATTATTTTTAAAAAGTTAAAAAATAAACTAAAAATGAACTTTAATCACTTTAAAATAACTATAATTGTTTTTTTTGTTTAATTTTTTTAAAAAATTAAAATAATTCGACAAAAAACATTTTAATATTAATATAAATATCACTATATATATTATAAATTAAAATTATTATTAAGGAAAAAAAAAAAAAAAAAGATTATAAAAAGAAAAATTTTAAAATAAAAAACATATTAATTTTGGCTTTAAATTAAATTTTATTTTTAAATTAATTATAAAAAAATATTTTGAGTTATATAATAAATTTTAAAAAAAAAAAAAAAATTAATAAATTTTTGAAAAATAATTAAAAAATATCATTATTTCTAAAATATTATATATATATATATATATATATATATATTTTTTTAAAAAAAAAAAATCTTTAATTATTATTAATTTTTCATACTAATTTTTTTTTTTTTATTGTTTAATTCAAATTATTATATAAATTTAAATTTATTTTAATTTTTTTTTTTCCTTTCAACTTTATTATATTAACATTAAAATTATTTTTTTAATAATTTACTTTGTTTAAATAATGCTTTTTTTTTAACAAAAAATTGATTATCTTTAATTTTTTATTAATATAAAAATAAATTTTTAATATATTTTTAAAATATTAACTTTTATATATAATAAAACAACTATATAATATAGTTATTTTTTTTATATTAGTATTTATATAAACTATTTTTTTTTATTTATACTTAATTCATTATTTTTGTAATTATTATGCCGAAACTACTAATTTAAAAATATATAAATGTCTATTACTTATTATTTATTTTTCTCCATCTAAATTAATATCTAAATTTTAATTTTTTATTCATATATTCGATTAATACTTCTTCTTTTTCTATTTATTTATTTTATTAAAATATTAAACTTTAAGAAAATTAATCATAACACAAATATATTATTAATATAATAAATTTTTAAAATTTTGCTTTATTTTTAATTAATATATATAAATACATATTTATATTAAAAAGATGATAATCTAGCTTTATTATATAATAATAAAGTGGACTATAATTTAAAATAAAAGTATTTATGCTAATTGAATTAAAATATTATTTATAAAAGCAATAAATTAACAAATGAATTTAATTTTATAATTTTAGATAATTTTTTCTTTTAAATAATCAATTTCATTTCATATAAATTCATTTTGTATTTTCCAATTCATTTTAATTTTATTTTTATTTATTTATTACATTTGATTTAATATTTACATATAATAATTTTTTATTCTTATTTATAAAAATTATTTATAACAAAAAACATAAAAATATTATCAATATATATTACATTTCTAACAGCATGCCTATTAAACTGGTTTAGAATAAGAAATTTAATTCCCTTTATTTGCTGAATTCATTGATTTTAAATCTGTATTTTCATCCACATTACTATAATTTTAATTATCTTTATCAAAAAACTTTTAAGAGTTGTTTTCTATAGAACAAAAACTAGTATTATTGCTTTCTGTCTATTATCCTGTCATTTTTCTATTATTAAAAGTATTTATTGGCGGCCCTTTTTTTTTTATTTATTCATTATTTTTATGTTTATATTTATAAAATAGAAATAACCAATATTTTTCAATGTTTTTTATTGTTCCTCCATATTTTTCTTCTAATTGATCTGGATTAATAAATTATAAAAGTTTATTGAATTCATTTTTTTTAAATAAATGTATTTTTGCAGCAGTTTCAGGATGAATAATTTCTATTTTTTTTTTTTTTTATAATTAATAAAATAATTATTTAATAGAACTTCTGATAACAGGCCAAAAATTAGAAAAAATAAAAGAAGGATTCATAATAAACATTTTTTCAAGTGTAGAAGTAAAATTTTTAGCCATTATTTATACGATTTTACTTATAGTCTATTTTTTTTTTAATAATGAATAAAATAATATAAAATATAATAATAAATATATAATATGTAATAAAATAAAATCTAATATAATATATAAGACATATTTTTATTTTTTTAAGTTTTTTTGTTAACTCCTAATTCTAAATCTACTATTCCTTTTCCGTTTGTCTCTAATATTACTGTCCAACTTTCGACGTATCCTTTTACAAATTCTACTTTTGCAACTCTTAATAAAAGATTACATATTGCCGATAAATAAACCTCTAAATTAATCTTTTTAATTTGATTATTTTAATTTTTTTATGAAATAAAAAGTACTTATTAAGGATTAACCATATATAAATTTAAAACAATTATTGGTCTAAATTATTTATCTCTTCCTAAATGATAAAAAATACCTTTTTCCTAATTTTTTTATATATTTATTATATAAAATAATACTTTATTATATATTTAATTTTTATTTACTAGTATTTTTAATGCTTAAATATTTAAATTTTGGTATTTTGGATTTTTCTTCCATTCTAAATGCTATTTTAAATTTTCTATAGATTTTTTAACTTCAAATCCTCCTGAATAACAATATTTTAATGTCATTATATCATCCCAACTATTTATTTTTTTATTATTATGTGTTATTTAATTTATTTTTGATTGCTGTATTTATTTTACTCATCTGTTAATTTTATATTTTAATTTTTTATTTCTTCTTGCAATTCTTTCATTTTATTATATTCGAATTCTGAAAATTATACACCATAAAATATTCTACGAAAATGACTTTTACCATCAGTATGATAAACATAATAATCTTATTATTTTATATTATAAAATGAAATAAAGATTAATTAATTAACATTTAATTATTTTTGTATTTCAAAAGTATAATTGTAAAATTTAAAAAATAATATAATGAATTATTAGTTTTATTTATATAAAAATTATAAATAATAATTAATTATTATAATTTTACCAGAATGCTTTATTTAATAGACTTCATTTGGTTATTTTAAATATGATAAATCAGTTTCTTCGTAAATATAATCAAATTATATTTCTTAAGACATTAAATTAAATTAAATAAAATAAAAAAAAAATAATTATTATTATTATTATTATTATTATTATTATTATTATTATTATTATTATATTTATTATTATTTTATTTTTAATATTTTTATGTTTTTTCTATTTAGATAGTTAATTAATTTATCTTTTTATTTTATTTAAATATACATATATTTTTATATTATATATATATATATATAATTAATTTTTATTTATTTGATTTTTAATTAAAAATTATATTTATATTATTAATTTAATTCTTAATAATTTTAAATTATTTTTATTTTATATATTCAGTTTCTTTTTAATGTTTCTATATAATTAAATTAAAATTTATTTTTTATGATTGTTTTAATAATATACATATTAATATTATATTATCTAGATATAATAATATATAAATATTTTAAATATGAGTATAATTTCAGGTAAGTTAAAATTAAAAGGAAAATTTAATGAAAATATGTTATAAAAAAATTAATTAATAAAATAAAAATTAGAAGTACAATAAATAAAAGAAGCTGAGTAATTATTAAGAACTGATTAAGATAGAACCCCAAAACAAGATATACCTAATATAATTACATACGAACCTGAAGATGGAATAGGTAAAATATTAACAAGTCAAGCAACCGTACATGGAGATAAAACAAAGTTTACTCAATAAGTTAAAAAAGGAGATTTTATTATATTAATGCATCCTTAATCATTGGCAAATGAAGAAAGAAAAATAGCATGTGTAATGAGTGATAGAAGTATATTATTAAGTTAAGCATTTTCTTCTGACATAATGAGTTATACTCAATATTAAATTAGAAAATAAGACGAAATTTAATAAGAAGAAGAAAGTATAGAACATAAATATTTGTAGAAATTTTAAATTTTAAACAAAAAAATAAGCAAAGATAATAATAATAGTAATAAAGTAAAACTAGAATATAGATAAAAAAAAGGAATGTGGGGATATAAAAATGTAGTTGATGAAGTAAGTGATAATGTTACAAAAGAATAATTGCTTGATTTAAGAGCTAAAAAAAATAGAGATAAATTTTGTTGGATTTGATTTTTTTTAAAAAAAATATTAATGAATTTTTATACAAATATATATATAAATAATTTCAAAGGTAATTAATTTTTTTTCAAAAAAATAAATAATAATAATATATATATGTATATTAATTAATTGATTATTAGTTTTTATTTTTTAAAAATAGCATTTTCATTTTTTATTTGTTATTAACATTGTTTTTTAAATTTTGAAATTTATTTCATAAATTAATTAATTAATTATTATTAATAAAAGTAAATAATTATGTTTATAAAAAAATTAATATTAAACTTGATTTCTAAGAAGAAAATTAATATAATAAATATTGTATTAAGTTTTAAAATAACTCTAATTAAATATATTTAAATTATTATATATAAAATAATTTTTTTTTTAAATAATAAATGAATAAGTTTGTGTTTTTAACAAAGTAAAATTTATTTTATAAAATCTTAATATAATAATTACTTTAAAAAAGTATTAATATTTTTTTGTTACTATAAGAAAAAACAACATATAGAAAAGGCTTTTAATTGTTTTTAAATTAAATTAGAGTTATTTGTTTGTATAGTAAAAAGAAAAATTATACGTTTGAATAAATAATATTATTAATTAAGATTTTAAATTATTTTATATTTTATTTTTTAAATTATTATAATTATTAACAATCACTGTATATAAAACCATTATTTATATTCCGTAAATAAATATAAATTATCAATTAATTTATAATTTTCTTTATAAATGCATTAAAGTAATTAAAAACTCAAAAAATAGTAATCTATAAAGAATATAAAAAATGTATAATTGCCAAATTTTCACCTACAAAAAACATTTTAATATAACGTGACAGAAAACAATAAATATTAAAGAGAAGTAATTTAAAAAAAAATCATTTTTTTTTTTATTTAATTTAAAAACAAATAAAAGATAGAATTATAAAATGGTGAAACAGTTTATTTAAATGGTTTTAATTCAAAAAAATGCCTTTATAATAAAATTAATGTTAAAGACTTAAATGTATGATATAATTTAAAAAAAAAAAAAAAAAATTATTTAATTAGGCAAAAAATATAATTTATAGACTTTTTTATTAGTATTTAACTAGAATTGGAAATGCATTTTTGATATTAATTTATATTATTTTTTATGTTTCACCATTTACTAATAATATTGAATAATATTTAACACTTAAAAAGTATTATTTATAATTATCTTAACAAATAAAGACTTTTACCTTAATTCTTAATATTTTTTTTTTAAAAAAAAGATCATTTAATTAATCTATATTCATTTTTTTAATGCTTTTATCCTTTTTAAGTTAATGTATAAATTAGTTGTATTTTGATTTTAAAATGTTGTAACATTAGTAATAAATAAATAATGAGCCAGCAACTATATTAAACAGATTTGATGATTAAAAATAATATGAAGAACAACTAAAATAAAATAAAGAAATATCTGTATATAAATGTATAAAATCAAAAGAAATATAAGTAATAAAAACAAACAAAAAACTAAAAATAAAATATATATAAAAAATAATAGATTGGTGATATTTTATTTGTTAAAAAAAACGAAATAGTATAAGCTGATATTATAATACTAGAAGTAAGTGATTCTATATGTTCTTTAGATATTTAAAATACTGAAGAAATTCCAATTCAAAAATTAAAATATCCACCAGCATTAACTTATAGTATTTTTATATTTTATTTTATTTTAAATTATTTTGTTTTGTTTGTTTTTTTTTATAAGTTTCTAAATCTTCAAAGATGAAAGGACATCATTTTGATTATAAAAAAATTTTAAACGGAAAGTTTAATTATTATAGTCCAGAAATTCGATAAAAAATAGGCTTTGAAGGATTTATAAAACTTTCAAAAGATCCTTAAGGAACGGTAATAAATGAATAAAATATAGCAAATAGAGGATCTTTATTTTAATATGCGGATTGGTGTTTAGGTTTAGCAGTTTATTGTGGGTCAGATTGCTATTATTATAATTAATCGGACTTTTTTTTTTAAAAAAAAAAGACTTTTTTAAAAAAAAGGCGAAAAGTTATTCGGAATGTTTATTATTTGTATTATTTTTATTGTTATAATTAGTATTATAGATTGGTATACAAACCCTTGTTATACATGTTTAATGAAAAATAAAGAAGAAGAAATTAATATTATTTATGTAATTTTTTCATATGTAAATGATTATATGCTATTTTTTCCGCAAATTTTATATTTCATATACGATTCTATAACTTTTTCGAATTCAATTTTATAAAATTACTAATATAATAAAAATAAATTGGTTAATGAAAATATGGATGAAAATAGTAAAGATAATTAGAATTTTTTTATAAATTCATAAAAAGAAATAGCTGAGTTATATCTCACAACACATTGTTTTATTGATAAAACATGCATACTTGAAAAAAATAAATAATTTGAAATTTGCAAAATGTATTTATAAGGATCATCTTATTAAATAAATAAAAATAATATTAATAATAAAAAAGATAATTGTAATAAAGATAATGATAATAATGATATAAATAGTAATAATGAAAATAATAATAATGATGAAAATAATAAAAATAATAATAATAATGATATTGATAATTAAAATGAAAAATTTAATAATAAAAAAATTTAAAATAATAATATTAATAATATTAATAATAATAATAATAATAATAATAATAATATTGATATATAATAACGTTTATTCTAATTTAAAAAATCAAATTCAATTAATAATATAATTTATTAAAATTAAACTAATTTAATAAACGATGCTATTGGTGATGAATTATATTAATATAAGTTTTTTTTGCCAAATTCATAGACCATAAAGAAAAAGAAGGATATAGAATATCAAATAGTTCAAAATAAAAATTTGAATAATTAAACTAGTATTATTACCAATATTACTACAAATAATTCTTCTATGAATATTCTTTTTTAAAAGAATTAGATTACATTAAGAAATAATTTTATAAAAAAAAAAAGTATATCCAATTGTTCTTTATAAAATCAATCTTAAAAAATTTAAAATATAAATAATCTATATAATCATAAATATTATTTATCTTTAATTTCTCCTCAAATTAAAGATACTGCATCTCTTGCTTTTATTGATAATTTGGAAATAATCAATTAATTTTAAAAAGAAATTTAAGAAAATTCGGTTAAAGATGAAATTAAAAGTAATGTAAATATATGTAATTTATTAAAAGGAAACATAAATGATAATAATCAAACCTAATAAAATTATTTGGATAACAATAATTCCGAAAAAAAAGTATTGAAATTTTAGATTCTGGCTTAGAATTTATTTCTCAATATGCATAATAATATCGAAAGTTCTCAATATTAATAACAAGAAAATTAACTCAAATAATCAAAATAAGATATATGCTATAAAATCGAAATAAATGATTAAGTTTCTCCTTTGAGAAAACTCACAAAAAAGTAATCTTTAATGAACCTTTATATTCCTCAAAATAGCTTAAATAAATTAAAAGAAGAAATTATTTCGGAAAGTTATCTTCTTTAAAAATAGGCGATTATTACTTTGGCTATTTGTCATATTTCCAGGACTGTATTAAATACTTTAAATGGAAAAATAGTTGTTGATTATTAGAAATACTTATGATTACCTTTTATTGATTTTGCGAAATAATTTGACTGTAATTTTAAATGTGTAACTAAAGGCAAAGGATAATCACAATATTAATATGTTATCATGCTTAAATAGTAAATTATTATTCTTGAAATTTGTATTCCTCCTCTTTATAATTTAAGAGAAAATCGATTACATATTTTGGTTAAAGAAGATGATTAATATTTTATTTATATAAGGTAAATAAATATAATTAAATTATTTTTTTGTTATATGTATGAATATATTTAATGTTAAAATATAGAGAAGAATTAGATAATATGCCTTCTTATATTAAATGTAATTAAGGTTTTAAGGAAAGACTAAAAGAACAACTTTAATATATGATTGAAAAAGGGCTTATTGGAATTATTTTTTGTAGAAAAAATATAAGTTGGTAAACTGCGGATATGATGATTGAGAAATATGGAATAATTTCTAAAAATTTAAATTCGGAAGATAGAAAAATTAATACTTATTTACTTTTTAAAGAATAGTTAAATGAAATGAATTTTATAAGTTTATTTTCTGTGAAATAAATATTAAATATGAATGCCTAAAGTTTAATTTAAAACCTAAAAAATGCATAAATAAATACTTTCTTAATTACGGGAGATTCCAGTTTAAGAGCTTTAGCAGTTGGATATGAAACCGGATTATTTAGTGGAAACGATATTATTAGTTTTGAATCTTATAAATAAGAAGAATTGAAATATTAAATGAATGTTAATTTGAAAAAAATTAGAGAAAAAATATTATATAAAAAATAAGAAATTACTAAAAAAGTTAATTAAAGTAAGATTTTTAAATTATATACATTAAGTTTAATTTTTATTATTATTTTTTCTTTTAAGATTAAAAATTTAATAGTATTAATAATATTATCCCTAATATTGAAAAATCATAAAATATAATCGATGAAGATAGAACTCAAATTCTTATTGATGGAAAATCTTTTTAATAAATAATAGAAAATTAATATTTAAAAAATCATTTTTGTTTTATTGTTTATTTTACTGACTAATGTATTGCCTACTCTTTTAGTTAAAATCAAAAAGCCTTATTTATTTAACTTATTAAGAATATAAATAAATGTATATTTTTTATATTTTAAAAAATAAATAAAAATAAAATAAAAAAGAATAGATATATACTTTAGCTATTGGAAAAGGTATAAACAATACAAAAATAATGTAAAATGCTGATTTTTCAATTTAATATGAAACTATATCTGAATAAAATTAAAATAATGTTTTAAATTTATTTAGTTGTATTAAAGTTTCAAAATTGAGTACAATTAGTTATTTATTATATTCTTTTAGTAGAAATGCATGTGAGATAGTGGAAGATAGTTTTAATTTTATATTTTACAGACATTTATTTTTGCTATTTTTAGTATTTTTATGGAATTTCGGGAATTGTAGTTTCGGTGATATTATTTTTGATTTTTATGATATTGTATAAGTGAATATTTCCTTAGTAATAATATTATTATCTTTTTTGGTAAGAAAAAAATATATAGTATAAAAACACGAAACTCATATTCTTACTTATGTGAAACAATTTAAATAGAAAAAAATTTTTTTTATTGATATTTTATAGAATTTTTTTTTGCTGATTTTACCTTAAACATTAGTCGATGTTTTTATTTTATTTTATTTGCTTTTTTATTCAATTAATTAAACTGTTTTACATGACGGTATTATTTTTGAGAAATAACAAATTGTTTTTATAATAAAAAACCTTTTCCTTTTTTTAAATCATTATAAAATTATTCTTTATTAAAATTAATCAAATAAAACCTTGATTTTAAATATAATTTTTCCTACCCTTTTTTTAATAAGAAATTCATTTGGAAAATTCTATGATATGGAATTTTCGATGTTTTATTCTCTAAATATGAGCCTTATTGTACTTGTCATTTTATTAAATTTCTCAATTTCTAATTTCCTTATGAGGTTAATTAGTCCATTAATTAGTTTTGGTATGATGAAAAATAAAAATAGGTTTTAAGAAATATATTAATAAGTACTTTAAATTTGGTAGTAATCTTAAAACAATACACTTTAAAGTCCAGATATAAATATGAATACTATATTATAATAATAATAAAAAGAAATTCAAAAAAGAAAATCCTAAATATATAAATAAAAAGATTAATCATAAATATAAAAAGATTAATCTTAACTATAAAAGGAACAATCTTAAATGTAAAATTAAGTTAATTAAAATATATAACATAATGTAAATATTTAATATTCTTAATAATCTAAATAAATGGATACAGTATAATTAGATAGCATTTATTAATAAATAGAAAAAGAAAAAATATCTAATGTTAAAAGAAAAATTAAAAAAGCTGCCCTTGCTTAAGTTTTTAAATTAATTTTTAAAGACAATGAAGTTGATAATATTTTACAAGATCTAAACAGTGAAAATTTCAATATAAATGCTACCAAAATGCATCCTCTTTTTTTGACTTTTCCTTCGAAAGAAACCGAAGGGAAATTCGTTCAATAGTAAATTCAAAAAAACAGAAAATTCTATATGATTTCTTCTGTTTTGATTGTTCTTTTTGGGGATATAATAATAGCAATTTTTAATTAGTAAAAAATGAATATTTCTTACCTATTAATAGTTAGTAAATGTGGAATAGATATTTTTTTATGGATTATTTTGATATATTCTTAATATAATCTCTTTACTTAAATTAATTATATGATTTTTTTTTTAAGATTTCTATATAGATTGGTTTTTTTGATTTTAATGGGAGAAGAAAGCATACTATAAACTATGTTTTATTCACTTTTATTTAGCTATAGTATACTTGTTTCGGCTTTTTTTTAGTTTTTTATTTAATTTGCACTAGTTTTGGCACATATAGTGTAGTTTATTATTTAATATTTATTATAAAATACTTATTAATAAGATATTTATTTCCAATTGTATATAATACTCAATATAATTATAAATAATTTACTTTTCACTGGATTAATTTTTAAAATGAAATATTAACATGATATTTAAAAGAGAAAAAATTTTTAACATGTAAATACTATTTTTATAGAAACAAAAAAATAAATAATGTCTTATCTATTCTTTTACCGACCTTCATAAGGGAAATAATAGATGAAAAAGGAAAAGAATATTAAGAAGACCAAGGAAACGTGGCAATTTTGTTTTGCGATATATATGATTTTGATTCCATTATTTAAATCGAGTAGGGAAACATTATTCGAATCTTAGATAAATTATTCAGGGCTTATGACAATACGTGTGATTTATACGGAATCTAGAAAATCGAAACTGTAGGAAAAACGTATATGGCTGCTGCTGGTTTAAAAGGAATTAAATAATCACAAGCATAACTTTAAATAAGCAAAGATATTCTCCCAGTAATCAGATGTATACTTATGGCTAACGAAATGTTAAATTAAACTAAAAAAATGACTTATGGTGAATAATAAAATAAACTCAAAATTAAAATAGGAATTCATTATGGTGTTGTTTAGGCAGGAGTTATTGGAGGACATAAACCTTAGTTTTCATTAATTGGAGATACTGTAAATACTGCTTCAAGGGTATGTTTTAATGGCGAAGTGGATTTTATTACTATTTCAGATTAAGCAAAGGAAGCTAGTATAGAATAAGTAAAAATTTAAATGTATTATTATTTATTATTAATGGAATTTTTTTTAAATAGAAAATTTTATATATTAATTATTTTTTTTAAATTAAAATATATTATTACAAATATATATATATATATATATATATTAATATAATAGTTAAATGATTTAAATTCAAAATAATTTTAAGATTATTCGCCTTAGTTTGGGTTTATAATTAATCTTATAGAAAAAATCATATAAGCGAAGGGAAAGGGAAATTTGAAGACTTATTAGGTTATATTTAAATAAGTTAAAAAGAAATAAATATAGACGATAAAAAAATAAACTGAATTATTACTTACTAAATATAAAAATTAGAACTTTATAAAAAGTAGTAATACAAATTTCATTAGTTAAGATTTTAATAGAGTCAGATCAAACAATTTTAATATAGAAAAAAGTATTTTTATAAATCAAAATAATTCTCCAATAACAAATGATATTAAATAATAATGTAAATTGATTACTTACAGTGTAGAGTAAAATAAAATAAAATAAACTCAAGATGATATTGAAAATACAAGTAATACAGAAATATAGATAGAATAATAAATATAAATAAGTATGGAATATAAAAGATAAGTATCAAAACAAGTAACTGAATAAATGGTAAATTATAAATAAAAAATATATATTATTAACTTAAAAAATAAAAAAAAGAAATATAATAATTTTTAAAATTAAATATATATATATAATAAATATATTTTAAATATTATATTATAATAAAATTAAATTATATATCAAAATAATTTTGTATAATTATATATATATATATATTTATTTTTATAAAAATTAAAGTAAATATTTAAAAAAAATTATAAAAAAAATAAATAGTAAAATTTATAATATATTTTATATAAATATAAAAATACAAAAATAAATATAAAAAAATATATTTTATATAAATAAATATATTTTATAATTATGTAAATTTTAATAGAAATTTGATTATTCTGCAATTAGATAATTAGAAAATTAGATTGGTATTTATCCTGTATTAGAATATTAAACTTAACTAAAAGATATTGTATTAGATTCTGAAAAATTACGACAGTATTTCTATGATAAGTCTAATGATAATATAAATATAAATATATAATAAAAAAGATATAACTTTAAAATTAGTATTCTAGAAATACTTTAAGGTTAATATTAAGCTGATTTATAACATTATTATGAGTCTGTTTTCTAGAATAGTTTTTAGAATATAAAAATATATAATTTAATTATTTGCTTAATTAATATTATAATACTTTTTTTATAAAAACTTATGAATAATAATTTAATTAAAGATTAAAATTAATCGTTTTATACTAGAGTTACTATTGCTTTTATTTATTTAGGTATTTTTCTTTCGAATAAATATATGATTAAAAAAGGTATTTTTGTTGTGAAAATTGTTATATATTTTTCTTATATTTCATGGATTTTATAAATTGTTTATGAAGGATATTTGTATTTTCAATATTCCAAAATTGATTTTATTATTAAAATGTAAACTTCTACTGTTATTTTTATTTATTCGATTATTATTTAATATAAATTCATAAAGTAAAAAATAAAAATTTTATTCAATTAAAAAAATAAAGTATAAAAGAAAAAATTATAACAAGTCTAATTTTAATGGTATTTTATTTAATTTTTAAAGTCTATAATTCAAATATTAATGTAGAAGATGCCTATTTATTTTTTATAATAATTATAAGTTTAATTATTTAATAAATTATTTGTCTTTAAGTGGATCTTTGTAGTTTTAAAAACCGAAAAATGCTTGACAAAAAAATGCATGATTAAAATTAATTATTAGAATATTTACTTCCTGGTCATATTAGAGATTAATTTCTAGAAAATCAATCTTAAGCAATAAAATTAATTGATCATTTTGATAATGTGACTATTTTATATGCTGATATAGCAGGATTTACATAATATTCCGCAAGTGTAAAACCTGAATAAGTAGTTTTATGTTAAGAGAGTTATTTACAAAATTTGATTAAAAATGTTAATAAAATAAAGTTTATAAATTATATACAATAGGAGATTGTTATGTAGTTATGGGATTAATAAATATAAAAAATAGGAATTATATATAAGAAGCTTAAAATGGTAAAAAAAAAAAAATTAAAAATATAAAAATATAAAAAGTGATAAATTTAGGATTTAGTATGATAGAAATAATATAAGAAGTTAGATAAATAATTAATTATGATGAACTTGATATGAGAATAGGAATTCATACAGTAATTAAAAAAAATAAAAATATATAAATAATAAATATATAAATATATAAATATATAAATATATAAATATATAAATATATAATTATTATATATTTTTATATCTATATTTACTCTTTTAAATAATAGGGTAATATTATTGGAGGTGTCGTTGGAACAGGAGTTGTTAGATATGATATATATGGACCTGATGTCGTTATTGCTAATAAAATGGAAAGTAATGGAAAATAAAGTAGAATAATGATTAGTGAAAATACATATTAATTAATTTATGAAAGTTGTCAAGATATATATATTTTTGAAGATGAGGGGGAGGTTTATATTTCTAGTCAGAAAAGAAAAATTAAAACTTATTTTATCAGACAATAATTTTAGTATGAAAATTAGTAAGAACATAATTCTAATATAAGTAATAAATATAGTATAAATAAATTATCTATTTGATATTTCTTATATATTTATGCGTTTACTAATTTTTATAACATATAAAAAATAAATTTATATTCTGTTATTTTTTATAAACAACTTTTTAACCAATTAATTTAAATAATTATTATAAACACACTTACAAATTAACTAATTTTTTTATTTATAATGTAAATATTAATATTTTTTTTTTTAATAAATATTCTATATATAAAAAATATATAATAACATATATCTTTTTATATTAATGTAAAATGTGCTTAATATTATATATATATCTTATTCTTAAAATATAAATATCACAAAATATTATAAGAAAATTTTTTTGAAAATTAAATTATGTAATATTCATAATAAATCTTACCATTATTATTATTATTATTATTCTAATATAAATTATTTAATTATATATTTTTTTTTAAATAATATTTTTTTATAAATAAAATTTAATTTTATATACCTTTAAAATATTAAAGTATTTTTAAATAGATTAAAAATATTTATAAATTCTAAAAAAATAAGTTTAAATTATTTTTCAAACAAAAATAGAAAACATAAAAAAATCAATTTTTTTTTAATTTTTTAACAATATCTCCTTTTTATATGAAATCTAAAATATCCATATTTCTTTTTTTTTCTTCTTTAAAATTAGTAAACTCTGGATTAATTCTTCTTTTTTTAGTTTTAGTTTAGACTTCATCTTTATGAGCTTTTTAATCATAAGTTCCCATAGATCTAGTAGAATTTTAAGCGACCTATAATTTTTTAGCTACGAGTTTTTTATCTTATTTAAGTTTTTGTTTTCCCTTAGTTAATTCACGCAGATTATGTCCTTTGGCTTCCATTTTATTTTTAATTTCATTTAATTTTTACCTTTCTTATAGAATTTTTTTTCTAATTTTTTCTAACGAAAGGATCTTCATAAGGATCTTCATTTTTTTTACTTCGATAATTGGATTATTTTTTTCTTCTATTTTCTTTATTGAATTAGCTCCCCATCTAGGTACATAATCTTATGTTATCTTATCATAAACCATTCGCCCTCTTTTTCGTTTAATAATTCCTTTTTCTTCAGCGAATTTTTCCCATCTAGTTTATTTTTTTTCTTTTGGAATAGGTTTAAATCTGGGAAATAAAGTCGATTTTTTTGGCAATTTTAAATCATAAAGTCCTTTGGAAAAATCCTGTATTTGTAAATCATCGTCTTTATTGTCACGATCTGCATTCATTTTGGTTTTTTATTGTAGAAGATTTGTGAACAATTATTGGATGTTTTGTGTTGCTCGGGCTTTTATTTATTCAGAAGTGGGATTTATGTTATTTATGTCACTTATGGTTAATATTCCAGTATCAAATGTTATGTTTGATTGAACATTTTGGTTTTCTTCGGTTTATTTTGACTATTTTTTTTTGGTTTAATGTTAATTTTAGTTTTTGATTGTTTGTTTCCTTTTTTTTTATTTGGTTTTTTTTTTTTTTTTCTTTTTTTTTTTTTTTTACTTTAATTTTAGATTTTTTTAAATTTAACTTAAATATTATTTTATATTTTATTTTTTATAAAGAGAGAAAAAATAAATAAATATATAAACTTAATATAAAAATCATAAATTCATTTAATTAATTAAATCTTTTCTTTATTTTTCTAACATTTATTCTAATTTATTACAAGTATTATCTTTAAGTTTAATTTCGTCTTTAAGTTTAATTATTTGCTAATCTTTTTTCAAAACTATATTTTTAATTCTTTCTTCTACATTTTCCAACTATTTAATATACTTTTATTCTTAGTCAGATAACTCTCCTTCAAAGCTTTGACTATTTATTTATATTTATTTGTTTAGTAATAAAATATCATTATTTAATTTCTAGATTTCTAGTTTATATTCAGCTTTTATGTTTTCTTCATTTAATAAAAATTATCCTTTTATTAATTATATGTCATTATTTTTTCATTTAATTAATTTTTTATATTCATAATATTATTATTTAAATCTTTAATTTATTCTATTTATTCATTTATTTTATTTTCAAGTTTTTCATTTTCATTTATTAAATTTTAAATTTTTTAATTTTTATCTTATAAAACAATTTTCATATTTTCTAATTCTTCGTTTTTTTAAAGAAATTATATTTCTTTTTATAGATTTTTAATTAGAGATTTATATTAATTTTCCATTTAATTAAATTTAATTTCATATTTTTATTTAATTTCCTTCTCACAATTAACATTCTCTTCTGAAACTTTATTAATAAGTAAATTTAATTATGCGAGATTTTCCTTTTCTAATTTTTTTTTCATTTCCAGTGTTTTTTTTGCAAGTTCTTGGTTATAATAAGTAATTTCTTTTTCTTTGAATTTTTCCATTTCTTCTTCATTTTGTTTTTATAAATTTTATTAAATTTCCTTTATTTCTTCAAGATTTTTTTATTAAATTTCCTTAATTTTACTCAAATAATTCTCGCTTTCGAGTTTTCTTTTATTTTCCACTTCTTTTAATTCAATCTCATAGTGTTTTTTCAAATTACTAATTTATTCACTATTTTCATTTTCTAATTTGTTAATTTAGTCTTTCATTTTTTCGTTTTTAAATAATCTTTCTTTACTTATTAATTCTTCAGTTTCATTAATTAACTTTTCCTTATATTATTTAAATTTATATTCATATTCTTCCTATACAGATTCTCTTAAATCATTTAATTATTTTTAATGTTATTTATTGAGTTTTTGAATTTCCTATTTATTTTTTGATAATATTTTTTCTATTTCAGGCTCTAAGCCTTTGATTGTAGCTTCTTTTATTTATTGAGTTTTTTCGTATGACCATTTTTCTTTTCTTTGAATTTCAGTTGCTAGCCATAATTCTTTATTTTACTTTTTTTTTTTTATTATTATTATTATTTTTATGTTTATTTACTTTCATTTCTTTTGCGAATTTATCTTTTATTTCTTTTATTTATATTTGATATTTTTATTCAGTTTCTATCAGTTTTTCTGTAAGTTATTCGATTTGTTGATTTTATTCTTTTTTGTCTAATATTAATTAGTCGATGAATTTTAAATGCCTTTCGATTACTTTTTCTAATTCTTCTTTTTAATCTTTTAATTTTTTTTCGTAATTTTATTTATTTGTTAACTCTATTTTTTTTAAAAAAATAAATAAATTATATAATAATTTTTTTAAAAAAATAGTATTTTTTATTTATATATATATTTAAATAAACCTTATTATTATTAATTTTCTTGTTCTTTTTTTATCATTTATTTTAAGTTTTCTATTGTTTAATTGGCTTCTGTTAACTCCATTTTCAATAAATTTAATTCTTCAATGTTGTTTCTATTATATTCGTTTTCTTTAAAGTTTGAAGAAAAATTATTATCTATTTAATTATCTTATTGACTAAATTATGATTCACTTTCTATATTTTCTAGAAATTTATGTAAGTTTTTTATTTTTTAAGATGTATATGAAGAATTATCTTCTATCGGTTTTTATGAAGAAGAATAATTATTCCCATATTATTTTATTTTTTTTTCTATACGAAATTTTTCTGTATACATTATTTTTTATAAAATAGATTGATATTTTTTTTTTTTATTTTTTTTTTTTATAAAAAAATCTATATAAAAATTAACTTTTTTTTAATATACTTATATAATAAAATAACATATTTATTAAAATTATCAATATTAAAAGAAAAAAAAAATATGTATATATTTTATAAGTTTTTGATTTATTAAATTAATAATATAATAAGTATAAAAAATATATATGTTTAAAAAAATCGGGAATAAAAAATAAAATATATGTAAAATTTTCTAAATCGAAATATTAAAAAAAAATTTAATTTTTAATTATTTTTTTATAATTTTTAATTTTTATTTTTTTTTAAAAAAATAGGACAAATTAAAATTAAAAAGATAATAATTTTCTAAAAATTTATTTGTATAAAGCTTCTTTTATTTGTAAATAAATAACTCCATTAAAATATTCTTAAATAAAATTTAATTTTAAAACTTATTATTAAACTTGTTTTTTTATAATAAAAATTTTTTTATTATATAATAATATTTTTTAAAATAAATAAATAAATAATTAAGTATTAAAAATAAAATAAAAACTTTCTTATTTCATCCTTCAATTTTTTTTTTTCTAATAAAATAAAAAAAATAAAAAATATACAAACATCTTCAAGTTAAGTATTCATAATATTGCACTTTCAAAAAAAAAAAAAAAAAAAATATTATGCAAATATAAACTCATATTCTCAAGATGAGTAAAAAATTATAAAAACTTAATCTTCATTAAATAAGTAAGCAAGAAAAAGATATTTATTTGATAATATATTTATATATATAATTATATATATAAAAGATAGAGTTAAATGAATTTAAATAATTTTAAAAAAAAATTATATTAAAATATTTTTAGTAATATTCTAAGTTTTTCAAAATAAAATTAAAATTATTTATAAATAAAGAACATATATCTTAACGTATAGAAAGTATCTTAAACATATAAAACGATTAAAAATAAGTAAATTTGTATTCTAAAAATTACGATATAAAATCAAAAATAATAATAAAGTATAAAATTAATAAGAATATATTATAATTTTACTTTTCAGATAAAAATAAATAAATATATAAAATATATAAATATAAAATAAATATAAATATATATAAAAAATAATTATTTGAATTCATATGTAAATATAAAAAAATATATAAATAATTATATGAATATATAAATATATATATATTAATATAAATATATATATATAATTATATATTTATATATTATATATTATATATTATATATATATATATATTCATATATATATATATTTTAATAAAGTTTTTTATTAGAAATTTCAATTATTTTTATTAATTGCTTTATATAATTAAGGTACTTCATGTTTTTTCAGTCCTTTTATAGCTAATAATTTATCTAAATCCGTAATAATAGCATCTTCAAAGAAATTACTAAAATTATCAATAAAACCTTAAACGGGCATTCCTATAAGTTTTAATATATTTTTAGTTTTATTAAAGCTTTTTTTCACATACTAATTATAACTATTTATTTATTTATTTTAAATTTATTATTATTCTTCTTTTTTCGTATAATCATTTAGTGTATTTTCCAATTCTGTACAATCTACAATTAATTAAGGTATAGCCCCGTTTCCAAATGACTTAATTTTATAGACTGTATTAAGAAACTTATTATTAACAGTTTGTACTAATTTTTTAAAATAGAAAAATTAATAAACTTCACTAATAATTGCTTTAATAATTATTGCATGTTAATTTAAAAAGAATTTTATTTCTTTCACACATTCATTTGAGTCTATTCCAGCCTATCCTTCTAAAATTTAAGCCCAGTTTATTTTCGCTAAATTATTAAAAGGGCCTTCCATACTCCATTCTACAAAATTTATATAATATTCTACTCCTTTATTAATACATGAAGAAAAAGAATCGTCTTCAGAACTCATATCAAATTATTCAGAATAAGGACTGTCTAGTTTTGCTTTTACAAGATCTTCTAAGCCAGTAATATTCTCTTTCCAACATTCTGATGTATTAATGGAAAAACCGATTTATTTTTGGAAAAATTCAGTATTTTTATGTTTGTTTTATGTTTCATTTGACATTCTTTATATTAACTCATCGCTGTACATTTTCAAACCTTTTTTTATTACTTTAGCTATTTGAAACATTGTTTAACTTCGAGAATAGGAAGACGCTCGATTTATTAATTAACGAACATAAGATAATAAAATTAATGTAGAATTAAAAACTTTTAAATCTTATTCTACTTTTTCATCACTTAAAGCATCTTATATACATTTCTTTAATTCATTTTCTTCTTAATCTACAAAAGGTTTTAAATAAGGTTCGAAAGAATCTGATATTGAGCATTTAAATCTTGGGAGTCTTTAAATTGCGAATTCTTTTTTATTTTTAGGTATAAATTCTATATTATTATTATGAATTTATTCATTTTACATTTCATCTTACTATTAATGATTTTCTTAATTATTATTATTTATAAAATTCTTATATTTTTTTTCCATATCTCTAGTTATTTTTCCTTCAAAATTTAATGTGTTTACTAAGGCTTTCAAAATTATTCCGATTTCAGTTTTTCCACCTAGCTTTTCTAAACTCTCGGTACATTAAATTCTTGTGATTCCACAAAATTCATAAATTAACATACATTACATCCCCCAGTATTCAGGGAATACATTCACCCATTTTTTCTCGAAATCATCCAAGTTTCTCCAGAGCCAGGCAAAACGTCTCTCGTGTTGATCCAAAAGTTAATTTTCGGCTCTTGAGAAAGCATTTTTATAAGACTTGAGAGCCAATTCGCATATATATTCGACCATTTTTTACTTAAAGGACAACCCTAAGGTCTCTATGACTTCACATGCACTATTCATATCTTAAGAAGTTAAAGTAGTCGATTGGTTATAATAAGATTCGAAATCCTCTTTTATTTAGAGTTAAAGTTCTCTTATAATTTCGTCTTTTTCCTTATATAAATCCTATATTTGAGGGATTGTTTAATATTTTTAAATAAAGACAGAAAGTTCATCAAAAGCTGAAATTAAATTAGCAACTTCTTTATATATTTTATTTGCGCAACAATCTCTTAGTTTATCAACTGCAGTTAGCATCATTATAAATTTTTTTAAAGCAGTAATTGAAAACGTAAGATTTTTTTTAGCTATATCAAGAGATTTTATATCTTTGCACATTTCAAATACTAAATCTTCGGATTTCTCGGCTTTTTATTTTATCACGGTTATTTATTCTATTATTTCTTTTGTTGTTGAATGCGCGGTCTTTATTTCTTGCTATAGAGATGTGTTTAATAATGCGTGATCATGAATAGATTCTATTAGTTCTTAGTTCATGGTATCTAATTCGGATTTTAATGTACTTATTTCAATGTCAAGGTTTGATAGAGATTGTTCATTTGGAAATCGGGTATTTATAAAATTTATTGGGTCAAAATCTTCTTGGTCAAATATTTGTTTTAGTTGTTCTGATGATAATTATTATTTTGATGATTCTATATTATTCATTTTTTTTTATTTCTAATTTTTTTTTTTTTTAGTTTTTTTTTTTTTCCTTTTTTTTATTTTTATAATGAATTTTATTTAAAATTTTTTTTTTTTTTGATGATATTTATTTTTGTTTTTAACAAAATAATTAGCTTTATATTAAATTTTAATTGATATATGTTTGTATTACTAGTTTTGATGTTATTTATTTTTGATGTCATTGCTTTTTTAAGCCATTATTTCTCTATTTTTCAGTTTTTTATAAAAAATTACTTAAAAAATAAAAAAACATTGAGAATAAGTAATATTACAAATGTTAATTTTTAATATTTTATTTTTTGTTTAAATAAAAATAAATGCTTAGTTCATAATCAAATTATTCTCACGTTTTTTATTTATCAATTGCATTTAAATAATAAAATACAGAGATAATATAAATTAAAGTAATATTTATAAATAAATTCAAAAAATAAAAAATATTTAATTATAAATTTAAATGTTTTATTTATATATTATAATAAAATTTTATTTATAATTTAAAAATATTTAATACTTTTAAACAATTTTGAATAAAAAAGAAATTAAAATATTGTATATAAATATGTATTTTTTCTATTCATTCTTATTTATCAAGAAATTCCTTCTACATATATTTTTATTTATCAAATATATATATATATATATATATATATATATATATATTACAAATCCTGGAAAATCATAATTAATTCCTAATTGTTTTAATTATTCTTTTTTTTTTTATTCATTTGAGATTAAATTTTTTACATTTTTAGCAATTTCTTCTTAACTTTTAGACTATAAATAAAATTAAAATAATATAAATAAAATTAAGATAAAAATAAAAATAAAAATAAACTTTATTAAATTCTTTTGTATGAATTTTCTTCCAATTAATAAATTTATATTATTTTTAACCAGTTTTAAAACTAAAAGGATTTTTCTAATCTTTTTTTAAAACATGAACTTATAATACTTTTCCCGAAACCATATGTCCATTCACAGTTTTAGAAGCAATAGCAGCTACTTCAGGATGTAAATATTAAATAAACCCATATCCTTTGCTTCTAGCAGTTTTTTTACTTCTTGCAACTTTAATATTTTATATTTCACCATATTAAGAAAAATATGTCTTTAATTCCTCTTCTAATAAACCATGAGGTAAATGACCTACATAAATAGTACAATTCTAAAAATATATATATATATATATATATATATATATATATATATATATATTTATATAATTTAAAAATATAAATATACTTAAGCTGTATTTTCTAAAGGAACTTTTGCATCTCTTGCTCTCATTTTCGCAATAGCTTTTTTTAATTAACTTTCATCAACTTTTTTTTTTTTTTGTGTTAAAAGAACATCTTTTACGGTATCTCTTAATTCAACTAAAGGCTCATTTGTTATTTTTTTATTTTCTTATGACTATGGTAGTAGTTTTTATTCTTATTATTTTTTTTAGACTAAATTAGGAGTTTTTTTTTTGGTTGCTTTTTAATCTTCTATATTCCTTTTTTTTATTTAGAAGCTATTTTTAATTCTATAGGCTTTTATTCTTTTTCTATTACTGTGTGCTTTTTTTGCATTTTCATTATATCTTTTTTTGGTTTTTCATCTGTCTTCTTTCCCTTTATTTGTTATTTTTTGGGATTCTTAGAAAGATCTTTAGTGGGATTTTTAGCCATTTTTTTGTTTTTAATGTTTTTTTTATTTAATTTTAGTTTTTAAATATTTATACTTTTAATTAAAATTAATTAATTATTTTTATATAAATATATATATTTTTTTTAATTTATATTGAAAAATATTAAAAAAAAACTGATATTTTAAAGATTTATATATTTATATATTAAAATATAAATTTATATAAAGTTATTAATTTTTATTTTTTAAATATTATCTATTTATTATTTAAAATTATTATTAAAAAAAAAAATATGAAAAACTTTTCATTTTTTCCATAAAAACAAGAAGAAAATTGTAAATCTTTTTAAGTTTAAAAATTAGAGAAAGAACTGAATATAGATTAAACATTAATAATAGAAGATTTATTAAATGTAAATAAAAAAATAAATTAATTATTAAAAAAAATAAATTAAAAGGGATGTAATGAATGGAATTAAGTACCAGATGTTGTAAAATTGACATTTAAGTCTGTAAAAGATATAATAAAAGGCTAAAATAAAACCATAAAAGAATTCTAAAAAGAAATTTAAATAAGATAATAAAAAGGTGAAAACCAATAATAATAATTTATTAATGAAATTCATTCTTCTTTTCTAGATTTAAAATAATAATTAGAAGAAAAATTATCATATTAAGATATTTAATTAATAACATAAGATATAAAATAAGAATTATAATAAAAATAATTAATATAAAACGATAGATATAATTAAAAAGTAAAAAAAAATTATATATAATTATATTTAAATATATATATATATTTATAAATATATATATATATATATATATATATATATATATATATATATTTAGAATCATTATCCTGATGAAGTTTAATTATTAGCAGCTAGATTAGACGAATTTCAAAAAGAATACACTAAAAATTAATTATAAAATAATTTATAAAATGAATTAGATTATATACTTTTAGAATTAGATAAAAAAGCTAATATATCTGATATATAGGAAGTTTTAGAAACAAAAGTAAATAAAGACAGTATTGTAGCAGCTTTAGGAAGAAAAGCAAATAAAAGTGATTTAGAAAAAAAATTGGAAATCAATGATTTAAATAACGTTATTAATTTATTGTAAAATAAAGCCGATATTAGTGTTGCTGAAAAAATAACGGAATTAATTGATTATAAGTGTGATAAAAAAGACTTTTAGGGCCTTAAAAATAAATAAGATTAGTTTTTTTTAAGTTTAAAGTGAAATGGAGAAAAATATAAAAATATTAAATGAAAAAATTAGTTTATTTGATATTCAGATACAAGTAGAAATAGAAAATTGGAAGAAAAATGAACAAAAAGATATGAGAAAGATAAATTTAAATAGAAAATTGATAATTTAAAAGAATAAATTTAAAGAATTTAAGAAAATGTATTTAATTAAAGCATATTAATGCAAAAAGAAGTTGCAAAAATATAGGAAAAATAAATAAATTTGGAAATGAAAAATGAAGATAAAAAAGTTAAAAAAGAATAAGAAAGAATTATTTATGAAAATTAGATAAAAGAAATAAATAAAGAAATTGTAAATAATAGAAATTTTTGTAATTAAAATGTTTAAAATTTTAATTTATAAATTTAATAAATTCAAAGTGATTTAGAGAATAAAATAATCTAAATTAATTTAAATTTAAGTGAAAATTAATCTTTATTATTGGATAGATAGAATAATTTTCAAAAAGACTTTATAAAAAAGTTATTTCTTTAAAAGAAGATTTTCTAGTTTAAATAAAAAATCTTGATATTTCTATTAATAAATAAATTGATGAAAAAGTTAGCTTTGAGGATTTTTAAAGCTCAATTTTATAAAAAATAAATTATTAATAAGTTGAATAAATTATTCAGAAAAATACTGAAAAATTGAATTTAGATAATTATAAATAAGAAATTTTAAATATAAAATAATAAATAGATCAAAATAAAGAATAAATTGATGTATAATTTGATTAAATTTAATAAATTATAGAAAAAAAATCTAATATTGTAGATGTTATTGCAATTTTGGATACTAAAGCTAGTATAAAAGACGTTAATTAAATAGCTTAGTAGTTATTTTAAGATATAGAATCTAGGTTTAATTATTTAAAAAAATAAGAAAATAAATCTAATAATATTAAATTATCAAGTAAAAAAATAATAAATGAATATTATATAAAATAAAAATTTATATTTGTTAATAAGAAATATAAGTATATCTTACTTATATATATATATTTATTATTTAATTATATAGTTTTTTTTTATGTCTTATATAATATATTTTGAAAAATTATTAAGTAAAAATTAAATGCAATAAATATTTATAATAAATATTATTTTATATAATTAAATATTTTTGAAATAAAAAAAAAGAGATATAAAATTATATATATATATATATATTTATATTTTATTTATATATATATTTATATTTTAGTGTTTATTTTTTGTTTTTTTCATACTTAAAGTTAACATACAATTTATTTTAAAGTTGATGATTGTGAATAATTATTACTAATATTAGTATATTCTTTAGATATAAAGCTAAAATCTTATTATTGAATATCTTTATTATTTTTTTTTGATTAATTTTTATAAGGATTTAATATTTTAATTTTTTCTTTATTATTTTTAACTTAGATTTATTTTAATAAGCTATTATTACATTTAATTATTTTAAAGATATTCGACAATTATTCCTTATTTAAATCACTTTATATATCTTTTGTTTTTTTTTATTTGTAAATTTAATTTTAATCTTTTTTTATTATTTAAGATTTTTTATTAAGATTTATTTAGTTTTATATTTCGGAATTTTAAATGCAATTTTATTTTTCTATTATATATAGGTCTTATTCTAAATTTAATTTCTCTAATTTTAAATTTTATACTTTATTTTTTAAATAGTATTCTTCATTTTATTTTAGCTCAAAATCACTATTTTTTTGAATTTATTAATTTTGTATTTTAATGTTATTATCTTCATTATTTTAAATTAATAGGATATTATATTAAATTTTTTAAAGTAAACAATTATAAGTACTTTTTAAAAATTATTTATAAATTATTTCATTAATTTTTTTTGTTGAGAAGAAGAAAAAAGTCTTTTTTCTTATAAAGGTAGTTGATTTGATTTTAGTTTATTTTCTCGGTTTTTTAAATTTAATGCTTATTAAATATATTTTTAAATAACTTTTTCGTTTTTAATTTCATCATTTTTATTTTCTTCAGTTAATAATTCTAATTTCAATTTATATTTTAAATATTTTTTTTAAAAAATATAATTAATGTACATTGATTTTTTTTCTTAATTTTAATATTTATACTGTTGCTTCTTATTTTAGGTAATATAGTTTACATTTTTTTTGTTTGAAAGTTTTGCTTATATTTTATACAAATTTAATTAAAATCTAATTTAATTATGATATTTTTTAATAATTTACATAGATTTTTTAATTAATTTATAATAGAAAAAAATAATTATAACAAAAAAATCAAATTAAGATATTATAATTATAAAAATATTATAATTATTAAAATTATAAATTTATAAAATAAAAAGGATGATTTTATAAATAAAATAAATTATATATTAATAATAATATTAATTTTAATAATAGTAATATTATTAATATTAATAAAAATAATGATATATTTATTCGTTTAAAATTTGCTTTATTTTTTTTTTAGGCGAAATAAAATAATAATCTATTATATATAAAAATTTAAAAGATTTTATCAAAAATATCCATTTTTTATTTATATATTAATAATATATCTAATTATTTTATTACTAAATAAAAAATTAACTTTTACCGAAGTTTATTATTAAGAATTTTATTTTACATTTTTAGATATATTTTTTATTTTAAATAAAAAAAAAGAACACATATCATTTTTTTTTTTATAAAAGGAATCAAAAAAAAATAAAAAAATGGAAAATTAAAAAAATTCAAATTAACTAATATAAAATTCAAATGATAAAAAACTAAAATAAATAAAAGAACTTAAACTTTTTTAAGTTCAACTTGAAGCAAATATAGAATAAAAAACAAAAAGTTCGAAAAAGAATATATAAAATTAAGATAATAAAAACTTTTAAATAAATTAAGTATCTGATTTTAGAGAAACAACTTAAAAAAAAGAAATTTAATTGCCCGTAACACCTTAAAATAAAAGAAATTAGAATTTTTCAATTTAAGAAATTACAAATAATTAATTAGGGTAGCTTTTTAAATTGAGAGAGGAATTATAAAATAAAATTAGTAAAAAGAATAATTAGAATATAAATCAAAATGAATAATACGAAGAAATTATTTATTATATATTAAGCCAATATGAGAATTCTATATAAGAAAAGATGAATATTTTTTATAATTTTTTTAAAAATTAAGAAGATGGATTTTTACATTTATAAAATGATATTTAAAAAATAAAAGAAAATTCAGAAAAGGGAGTATTTTTTGTATATAATGAACTTAATTAATATTTTAGACAAAAAACTGGTTTTTAATAAAATTTCAAATAAACAAATGAAAACGAAATAAAAGTTTGCCGAAAACTTAATTTGGATGAAAGTCCTGAATAATAATCAATATTTTAAAATTAAAATATATAAAATGAAGATTAATAAGAAAATAATTATATGCTAAATTGTTAGAATATTATTAAAAAATTAAGTTTTTTTTCTATTGGGGAATTTCAAGATGAAGAAATGGTTTTTTTTAAAAAAAATATTTAAAAAATTCTTTAGGAATGCTATTAAGTTTAAAATGATTATTTTTAGTTAAAAAAAGCTTATGAGGAAAAAACTTTAAATATTTTTGAAGGGTTAAATATATAAGAAAATATAAAAAAATGTGAAAATTAAATTCAAGTTTTGGAAGATAAAAGTGAATTTTTAATAGGATTTTTTAAAATTTTAGAAAGAATGAAAAATTAGTTTGAAGAGAAAAAAAAAGAAGACTAAAATTTTTTTTAAATTGAAAAAGAAAA